CCTATAAATTGGAAACTCTCGTCCTTAATTCTACACACCAAAAATTCACTTAGCTTTGTGCTATAGAAGAAGCAATAATAGGTTCTCTGCTCTATGCTTGAAACCTTTTCCTTGCTTTGTGCAATCAGCTTATGTTCTTCCCTGCCTTGGTGTACTCTTTTGTTTTCTCCGGGTTTGGTGATACCTTTGTGGTTGTGGATCACTTTTCTGAGCCTAAACGAAAGGGAAATTCCTTGTTTTTATTGTTATTCATATTTTAGATTATTAGTTTGATTTCATTGATTTATTGTAATTCCATAACCTAATTCTTTGATTTATTCAATTGTAGGTGGAATTAGAATTATAAATTGGTATCAGAGCTTGGTGGGAAATCAGAACTAAAGAAAAAACTGAAGAAAGAATGCAGAAGCAGAAACGGGAAGAAGACAGTGAATTTTTTGAAAAAATCGGACATGCAAATCCAATTTCCAGACAGACGGTTTACTTGAAGAAGAAATGGAGGCCAAATTTGGACTCAGCAGGTAGAGGAGAAGCTGACTGGATGGCACGTGGTGGTCAGCAGCAGCGCGTGCGGCGGCTGGTGGGCAATCTGGCGACGGCGCGTGGAGCAGAATCCGGCGAAGGTTTCTTCAGGTAGAACTTTTATTTTGATATTTCTAACCTTCGTGTGTTGTTAGTTTTTCGTTTCAGGTACTGTAACAAAAGTTGTACGATTTTGCCCTTGGTAGGTCAACGGTCGGAATTGCCATATAAATTTACAGAATTACTTTAGGCCATAAATTGCGGCCTAAAGTAGTAAATTCGCATCTCTCGTAAATTACGGACTCAGAAAAGTCCGCTCTGGTAAATTGGCTAATCCTTTTAAATTTCAGCACCAGCGTGCCATCGTGTGGGGGTGACAATAGGATTGGGGTTATCGTGTGAGGTAACCATTGTTTGTGCTAGTGATTAGGAACTATTTGCTCTTTGTTGCTACGTGATTGAAATTTGCTCTTTTGATTAATTACAACATATTACGTTTTGTGATAAATCGTAAGTGAAACTGTTTTGTTGATATCTCTCTGGTTCTATTGATAACTTGCTAGAATACCTAGACCTTACCCGTTTGAAAATTCCTTTGATCTAAGATCGTGAATCTTACGAAACCCTGGAAATCTAAAACGGTGTATATTTGCGAACATATGTCTGCTTTGTGTGGCTTAATTATG